TTTCCAACCAGCTTCTGACAAGCAAAGTCAATGGGGGAAGCCAGATTTGCTGAATGAACAAAAATTCACTTAACAACTGCAGCAAGAAAGGTCATAAAATAGGCTGAAACTTATTTAACAACTGTCTTGCTTAGCAACAAAAATTTTGGCCTCAATTGTGATCATAAGTCTGGGATTACCTTTATTTGATAGTGGAACAATTTATTTTGAGGGATGGTGGGCTTTCATTCCCTAGAAGTATTCACCATATTTCCTCTCTAGTGATTTATATTGTTTTATACTAAATGAATAGAGTAGAGTAAAATAGGAATAGGAACAGGAATAGAATTCTTTATTGGCCAAGTGTGGTTGGACACACAAGGAATTTGTCTTGGTGCAAATACTCTCAGTATACATAAAAGAAAACATACATTCATCAAGAGTCAAGAATCATAATGTACAACACTTAATGATAGTCATAGGATATACAATAAGCAATCAAATCATACTAGGAAACAGTCAATATAGATCGTAAGGATACAAGCGACAAAGTTAGTCATACAGTCACAAATGGGAGGTGATGGGCGATAAGGAGTAATGAGAAGATTAATAGTACTAGTAATGCAGATTTTGTAAATAGTTGGACAGTGTTGAGGAAATCATTTGTTTAGCAGAATGATGGCATTCAGCAGTGGTGGGATTCAAATTTTTTTTACTACCAGTTCTGTGGGTGTGGCTTGGTGGGCGTGGCAGGGGAAGGATACTGTAAAATCTCCAGTCAGAGGTGGTATTTGCCAGCTCTCCAAACTACTCAAAATTTCCACTACCGGTTCTCCAGAACTGGTCAGAACTTGCTGAATACCACCTCTGGCATTCAGGAAAAAACTGTTCTTGTGTCTAGTTGTTCTGGTGTGCAGCGCTCTATAGCATCATTGTGAGGGAAGGCGTTGAAACAGTTTATGTCCGGGATGTGAGGGGTCTGTAAATATTTTCACAGCCCTCTTTTTGCCTCGTGCAGTATACAGATCCTCGATGGAAAGCAGGTTGGTAGTAATTGTTTTTCCTGCAGTCCTAATTATCCTCTGAAGTCTGTGTCTGTCCTGTTGGGTTGCAGAACCAGGAATAGGAATAGAATAAACAGGGTTGGACTGGACCTAGGAGTTCTTCTGATCCAATCCTCTGCTTAGGCAGGAAATAGGAATTTCAGGTTCCTTTCTCACCCTTACATTTTGCAATTCTTTGATAAGAGCCAGGCACCCATCCTTTGGTAAAGGATATAAAATAAATAGGGCCAAATAAATAGAGCTTTTTATGCTTTTCTCAGGGAAGATACAGAAGTCTTGCTGCCATGCCAGATTGCCTACTGCCTAAAAAAAACTTTTTAATGTTAATCCCTGGATATTTTAATTAATCCTATTTATTGAGCAGATGCGCTTATGCAATGGGTGTGGCTGAGTGGGCCACAAAAGTGGAGTTTAGAAATATGTTATAAAGTAATAAAGGCAGGATAAAAATCTAATGAATAAAAAAATAAAATTTGCTGGCTGGGAAGTATCAAATGCAAATACTTCTACACTATGGACACCAGGGGTCGCTGCAGATGCCTTTTAGGTGAGGGAACCCTACAGAAACATTTATGCAGTTTATATCTCGAAGGGTACATGTCAGGCAATTAAAAGCCTCTTTGTATCACCTTGTTAAAAAAACTCTAGAGGCCCTAGGCCATCTATCCAAAGTTAGCTTGGTTGAATCCTCCACTTGGAAGATACCTCAGTGCTGTTGTTCTTAAAAATTCCATTTTCCATCCCATGTAATCAGCATCTATTGCTCCATAGTTTGAATCTCCTAAGCCAGTGTTCCCAACTTTAACAACTTTAAGATACGTGGACTTCAGTTCCCAGAATTACCCAATCAGCCATGCTGGGAGATGAAGTCCACGTATCTTAAAGTTGCTAAGGTTGGGAAACATTAGTTTACCCCTTGTTTTCTTTGCCATTTCAGCAATGGTGGGATTCAAATTATTTTATTACCGGTTCTGTGGGCAAGGCTTGGTGGGCATGGTGTGGCTTGGTGGGCGTGGCTTGGTGGGTGTGGCAGGGGAAGGATACTGTAAAATCTCCATTCCCTCCCAACTCCTCGGGGAAGGTTATTGCAAAATCCCTTTCCCTCCCCACCCCACTAACCTGCTTTCCAGCTCCATTCTCCTGTGCAGAGCAACAAAAGAAGACCCAGCCAATCAGCTGGGACTCAGGAGGCAGAGAATAGATGGGGGCGGGGCCAGCCAGAGGTGGTATTGGCCGGTTCTCCGAACTACTCAAAATTTCCGCCACTGGTTCTCCAGAACTGGTCAGAACTTGCTGAATGTCACCTCTGCATTTCAAGGAAGTCTATATGCTTCTTTTTCTCATAATGGCTGGTGCAGAATGAAATGAAAATTCTGATGTTCACTGAGTTCCACATGGAGAGCAAACGTTGGAACTTAGTAGGGAATTCCCTTTCCATTTCTTGTTCCTGATTCTATAGGACCCTGAGCAAGGGATAAACCAGTACATCCTCCTCTTGTTATCCTTACATCTCAGGTTTTTGTTCACAGAGCAAGCATAATCCTTTGGATTTGGGGCACAGCAATTGAGATTTGCACTCTGCACAGATGAGCAAGCCCCAATACTAGTATGGGCACTTCTAGTTTGGTTAGCTGTGATTCCAAATAATCACAGGCAAAAGCATTAGGAAAGCCAGTTGACAATTGATATGCCACTACTCTCATTCAGGCAAATGCAGGCTGGTCTGATGAGTGTATTATTTCAACTAAAAACCCATCCAAGTGCCCCCGTGAAGAGACAGGCATCTGTTCTTGACAAACCCTGCATAGACTTGTAATATTCATTTCCAAATATTATTTGTATCCCTTATGATCACCTCTACAGCCACTGAACATGAAACTAGCTTGTTATCACAGAACAGAAGTAATTTATCTGGTTTTGGGTTTTTTTGGCTAGCTGTGTACTGAAATATCTTCCAATGTGCTTAATCCAAACAATACAATCTGTCCATCTACAATTCAGTATTGTCAGCTTAAATAGGTTGTATCTGCAGTATTTCTAAGCAATCTTGGACCAGAATTTGAGTTAGCTTTGCTGTTCCAATTTGGCACTGGTTTCTAAGGGATCCACACATCTGGGCCCTTCTATTCAGAAGTCCCTACAATGTATGAAAGACTTAGAACCTCTTTCATCAATAGATATAGATTTAGAAATACTGTAGATAATACCATTCTAGCATTCTATCCGGATTTTGTTGTCTAAGAGGCAACTGCAAATCAATGTTGTGGTTCGCCGGCAGCCGGTGCAGACGACAGAGGTATCGGACAGTGAGGACGAAAGGGAACCAGTCAGGGAGTCTGGAGAGGACTTGGACAAGGATCCTGTGTCCGATGCAGAGATGGGGCCAGGACCTTCTGGGAGTGGGGTGCTGCCTTTGGAGCTTTCAGAGTCTGGCAGCAGCGAAGCAGAGGACCGAGGGGAGCCTGTTCCCAGTGCACGTATGCACAGAGCTGCTAGAAGGCGAGAGCAGCTGAAGCAGAAGGGGTGATTCGGAAGTAAGGCTAGGAGGTGATTGCCCCTCCCATAAGGGATAAAAGCAGGGGTGGGATTCTACCAGTTCTTAGAACCGGTAGCTCTGAAGAGCAGCAGACATAGAACCGGTTCTATGTCTGCTGCTGTTTTGGCCCGCCCACCCGCCTGGGCTCTTACCTGACCTTGATTTCCTGGTTTTTC